GAAGAAGTTATCTCCATTCAAACGCGCAGGGCTGATGCACATGTAAGCGTCCTTGCTGCTGAAAGACTGGCAGCATGGGCAGGTCCCAGTCCCTCAGAGAACTTCTCCCTGGGAAAGCTGCGCTGTTCTGTGTGCATCATCCATGCTGACAGAAACACAGTGTGTGAGGCAGGTGAAGAGTGAGGTCCATAGAGTGTTTTGTCTTTGAGTTCATTGGTGGTAGAAACGTGAAGTGCCAAATCTTATTTTTTTACCTGGTCTCTTAGAACAAATTCCCACGCGTGCTACAGGAAGATAAAGACTGGATGACACTACTGTTCTTACTTCACAATTTTGGTCAGCCACAGATACAAAAACCTGTGTGATCTCTTTACTGAAATTGTTGCACTAAGAGTTGCTTTTGCTCCTAGTTACATAAACGGAAATACTGCTATTTAGCCGAAGAAGAAAAGAAATAAAATGTCTGGTGTATCTATTTTGATCACAAGTACTTATGTCCAAAAACCTGCCTTCTAATGGAGTATTTCAGGATATAAAGAAAGCATGTTCTCTTTACGATACGTATTTAGAGATGAAGAAGCATTAGTAGAAACAATAACCATACTCAGACTTGCAAAAATGTAATGCTCAAATAAGGACGGGAATGCATTGACATGTTTGTCTTTAAAAGTAATAATACATAATATTCACTTATGTAAGAGCCATCATCAATTACTATCAAAAGGAATATTATGTGTTACTTTTAAAGCAGTTTTCAGTGAAAACTGTGTTCCTTGCTCATTTGAACACTTTTGAAAATCTTTCCCTAAAGTTTGCTGAAGGTCCCTTTCTGAGCCAGTAACAGAAAAAGGAATATAATATCTTGTGTTAGATAATACTCAAATGTAATTAGCATTTCAATTCTTAGCTGCTGTATAAATCTCTGGTAAATTTAAAAAACTGACATAGTAAATGCAGGTAAAAATACCTTAACTATAATATGGCAAAGGGGGATAATGTCATTGGCCTAATTTCTCAGAGTTTTTAAGAGGTGGGGGGAAGGAGAGAGGAGAAGGGACTGTGTGAAGTTTCTTCTAATGTATTCAAACGCTGTAGTTTCTGGATTGATGCTACTAAGCAGCTAAGAAAGGATTCCTGTGAACAGCCTTGTGGTAGGGAGTCAAAGATGACCATGTCTACAGTGATTCCTAGCTGGTATCAGAACATGACCATTCTGTTGTTCTGGGTCAGCAGTAAATACCTCACCAAATGGTGCAAAGTCAGCCAGTTCTTAATTTTTTATCTCCTCAAGAGTGCATTCAGTGACTTTATCACTGAGAAGAATGACTCCCCTGCCTAGTGTGATCAAGATCTGGAAATTTGCTGCATCAGCACATTTAGTCCAGACTGCTGTTTGATTGGTGGGGCTTAGGTTTGATCTTACGGCATACATGTCAGCGCTCCAACTGGCTAGGTGAACAGCCTGTCCAGAGGGAAACTCAGTTTAACCCTTCTGAACCTGAAGGAAGAGAAGTCTCATAACTTGCCATGTCTTTTATTTGGGGTCCCTGCATATAGCCAGCCCTCTGAAGGGGCGAGTGGGGTGGTGGAAGTTCCCTAGAGCCCAACTTGTGAGGCTCTTCCCTAGGAACAGCCCAGGGACACAAACCAGTCTAGGAAGACTTTGTAGGCACTGCATATTTGTCTTATGCAGCACTTTCTGCTACAATGAAAGACTTGAAATGAAATTACAGGTTATGAATAGAAAAGCAGAGCATCAGATGTCAGCTCTTTTGATCACTTAAACGAGGTCCAAAGCATTTTATGGGATAATTTGGGTGCAGACATAGTTTGGGTGCTGTTTTTTAGTCATATTATCCCAAAACAATCCAATAAAATTACAATGGGAGAAAATAAGTTGCCTGTGAGCCTTTTGTGTCTTTTTTTTTTTTTTTTGTCAGCCACTTGAAATTTTCTGGCCAGAATTCATATGTCTTTATGCTTGCTTCTTCCAGTTTGAGGAATTTGGATAGTCCTAACTGTATCTTCCCTCATGGCTGAAGCCAGACTAAGAAACTAGCAAGGACTGTGTACGGGCTTTGGCTCTTAAATGCTTGCTCTTATCACCTGTCTACTGCAGGTGAACGATAAAACTTTTCGGGGCTTTCCAGTAGCCGGTTTTAAGCATCCATTGTATGTGTATAGCATATGAGGCACAGACGGGTTATACTTTACCTTTACAAGGCCCCTTGGAGGAAAAGATTCCTGAAAAATGGTACCCAAAGCAAATATGGGCAGATCCAAAGCACGTGGTTGTGTTGTGGAACGTGATTCGCCAGTGGAGTGAACATCAGATCAAGCCCTTTATTGTGAGCACCAAATAGCATACCACTTATAAACATTATTAATTATGTTTCCAAATACCCAGCACACTATATTTAGAGTATGGACTTTAACTTAAACCTGCAAGAGCAGACTGTCAGTGTTCCCACGTAACCCTTCACATTCTGGCATTTTCCAGACTGCCAGCCAAATGAACACGTTAGGAGGAGGTGCATATATATGCCTGCAGCACCCAGCGGGTTAATCCACCCTACTGTGCATAGGTGTTGGAGCTCTTATGGTATGTAAGACTTGCCAAGTTTGGAGTTGTTTTGTATTTTTTTTTTTTTTTTCCTGGACTATGCATTCACAGCAAGCATCTCTTCTTATGCTGCTCAGGTGTTTGTGAATGCATACCGAGATGGTGCTCTTATTTGTGTTTTATGTAACATACACATTTGTGCACATTTTATCACCTGGAAAAAGCTTTTATGTCTCATTTTAACACTTCTCTATTAAAACATTTGTTGTTGTTGTTGTTAATTAAACATTCAGCCATCTTTCATATTTTTTTTTAAATACATCTTAAAATAGACTACTGTGCATTTTGGTCTTCTGGCCTAACAAATGTCCGTTTTAATAACTGAAATTTTTAACTTAGTATCTCTCAGGACTAAGCATCTGCTCCATTTCTACTTCTAACTTTTTTTTTTGAAATTATGAAAATATCCCATGAATGTGTACTTACATGCAATATTTCAGCTGATGCTTTTTTAATAGTTAAATAACCGTGAAAAGAGAGGTTTCTAATGTGGACGGTACATGGATTCTTGCTGTATTAGTGAGCATCATTTTTAGGGATCTGGACAAACAGTTGTGTCCAACAGCATGTTGTTTAAGGGGAACTGCAAGACAGTAAAATACCTCACATTTTTTAAGTTTGTGGCAGCTCTAGGGAAAATTGAGATGCTCTGATGGCTATCTGTCTTTGAAAAAACCCACTAATTTTTATTCTTAAAGAAACTACATTAATGATTTAATGAAGAAGAAGAGTACAGGTTTTAGCCATCATCTACTGTAAGTTGTCCATATTCTGCTGTATATAAACAACTGCAAAATGCTAAAGGTTAAATACTGATAAGATGATACTATTGAACTTAATTACTTAACTTCAGCTGCAGGTAGAATTTTACTTGAACTCGCCTATTTTGCCCACATTTTATATTATTCTAATAACTAAAATAACAGGAGAGCAAATAACAAATGGTACTTAAAATAAAATACAGCTTTTTGATGTATGCTAACTTCGGTACAGTTGATTGAGGAAACTGAGAACATCCCACTTACTCAAACAAGGATAAAGAATCCCCCCAAAGAAATTATCTCTTAAAGAAAATGTGCTTTAGAGAAAAAAAAAAAAGTGATTTATTTTTTTTTCATCTCCTGATTTTTTTAATGACTTGTTACTGTTGTCTCAGCTGTAGCCAAAGTCTGCAGCTGGTATTCTTAACAGAATTACTATGAGGACGCTAAAACTACTTCTCTAAAATATATATAAAATAGCATTTTTAAAAGTATTTCATTTAGCAGCACAAGGACATTTTGTGTGACAGTGTTCAATAAGATAAAAATTTTAAACAGAATAACAGCTATTTACATTCACACTGCAAAATAATTATCGAAGCAGACAAAATGCTTAAACCTAATTTAATAATGCTTTCCTTCAACCTAGGTGCCAAACCCTGGGAGTAAACTTCCCAACTTGTGCTGAGGTGGGGAGGGGAGATCTGAAGTTAAAAAAGCATAGAAACAAGTGCAGTGAACACTTTTCTGGGTGAGGTACTGAGTGAATTTCACTTTTAAAAAGAAAAGCATCATAAATCAGCATAAACCACAAGTTTTAATGATTATGTCTCCTCTGGAATTGTGCAGTGCTTGCAGTTCTGTGTGAACAAGACAAGGATCTGGTCTTACACTTCTTACTCAGGCAAAACTGCCACTGACATTAACGATAATTTTGCTTGAATAGAACAAAGTGCTTGGTGGTGGTTGTGCCAGCATGAGGGGTGCGAGATTAGTGCAGACGTGCAAAAAAGTACAGCTTCAAATGGCTGTACCTTTGACTTCTTGAGCTAGCATTTCCTCCAACTACAAGGATCTTAATTATAACATTTGCTGGTTCAAAGATTAACATTTAGCATTCTGGGAAAGACTTTCTGGACTCTAGTAACCTGATCAGTATGGTTTCCTTTTGGTCTCTGCCTCTTTCTGGTTCTTTGTATTACAGAGGAGATGATAGTATCTGGCACATTCCTTGGATGACTTGAAGATAGCAGCCTTCTGTGTTTGGGGCTGAAAGATTGTGAACTCTGTGTTAGCAGAAATGCCACACAGGGGAGGTGAATAGAACATTAAAACAGCTTTAGCTTTAGGTACTGCAGTGCAAGCAGAGTTGAATTTGAGAGCTGGGACTTAAGTGGACATTTGTCCCTGCTTTCTTCCTTAATAAAATCTGAGTGTTAACTGTGGATAAGGGCATTTGAGAGATCACTAAAAATGAATCATTGAGTGCCCAGAAGAGCTTTATTATGATATACTATGGAGAACTTTAGAATATACCATGTACTTTTTACGTGCTTATTGAATGCATGTATGAGTTACTATTACAGAAGTAAATTGTTTTGTCCTTTCCTGCAGAAGCAAAATAATTTGCCAAATTAAAATGTCAAAATAAAACTCATCAAAAACTGGATCTGTGTGGTCCTTTCTGGCCCTGTGTTCCCATCTAATTTTCTTTTGCCCCTTGAAAGGCTATTCAGCAAAAAAGCACAAGCTCCTACCAGCAATGATTGTTATGCCTGTGTGCGTGTGTAATCCATTCTGAAAAACCCTTACACAAATAGTAAATCTGGAAAAATCTCAGTGCAGGAGTCCTGACTGCCTAAACTGAGTGTAAAAAAAAAAACCCAAAACCTAAATTTTAAAAATCCCCAGACTGATATCAGGTTCCAGGACTGGGTCCTTGTAGGTAAAGTCAAAAGAGGTTTCTTAGTTCAGTTTATTTGCCCCAGTAGCATTTAGATTGAAGGAATTATTCTGCTCCTGAAATTCTGCATAGAAGTTGCCACTGCCCAGTTAACCAGTGTGAAAATACCATGGAAAATAAATTATTAAACTATACTGTTATTACTAACTTGCCAGCTCCAGAGAAACAAATGCAGCCACATTTACATATGTGTCCATCTGTCTGTTTTTACACTTTATGTCTTCAGCCAGTGGGTGAAATTGTTTTAATCCAAGCTGCAGTCTGATTTTTTTTCTTCCTCTTTTTTTTTTTTTTTTTCCTGCTGATATTTTTCTCTGTGTGTATGTTATTTGTAGATGGACAGACATATTCTTGACAGTAGCTAGTTCTTAATTGTCCTTCTAAGTAATCTATCTGGCCACAGTAGTTTTAACTGGAGTAAGCAGCAGAGTTCTCCATGGATAATTTTTGTTAGTTAGCAGATTGTTACCATCTCAATGTTGCTGAAATCCCTAATCTCAGGTCAACGTGAAGCTGCAGTGGTTACAATCCTGTTGCCTGATGCAGTGTGAATGGAAGTGCTTTCTGTCAGAAACATGTGGTCTCTTCAGTGGAGAGCCTGAGTAAATCCTGTGTAAATAGAGGGAGGCTAACAAAGGATGAGCCCCTGCAGCTCAGAGCATTTGGAGCCATTTGGAGGCTGAATTTGCTAAATGCTGCTTATACCGCCTGAAAAGTTGAAGAGAAAGGAGCATAAAATCCCTTCTTTTTTCTCTTTCTGCTCCTACCCTGGGGGGAGGGTGTTAAGGGCCAGGGAAGCCTGAGGTAAGCCTATGAAGATTGTTTTTTCAGTGCTCTTTTGAGTGTGAAAAAGGTGGCATGGGTCACTGTCCCCTCTTTAATGTCGGAAAACCCACACAGTTAGTAAATGTTGCATGTAAACTAAAGCATTTCATCCCTTCTCCTGCACTCCACGGCAGTGGGCCATGAACTAGTCACTTGAAAATCGCAGAAAAATTTCACGTCAACATGTCCAGACAGTTTAGCACAGCAGGAACGTAAGAGAGATCAGCAATTAGCAGGTTGCTTTACTGTTCCCCTTGTCTGCATTGGAACACTTTTTTCACCTGATGTGAAAAAATGCTGGATCACAGCGAACAAGCCACGAACCTCCTGGCTGTATAGAAGAGCTTAAAATTTAAACCGCCGTTTATTAGTTCTGTCTTTAAAAACTAGAAAAATACGTTGTTGGCTTTTGAACTTAATCGCTAAGAATTCTCGATTCACTTCACAAATAAACACGAGATTTAAACACAGACAATTAAAGGCACAAAAATCCAGGCTTTTTTTCTGGTGGGTTTTTTTTGTTTGTTTGTTTTTTGGTGTGTTGGTTTTTTTTTTCAGCAGGAAAATAGTAAAAGGGGAAATGTGAAACATCGCAGTTCTGTAAATAGTTTTGGAAGATGTGAATCACCAATTTTATAGCGTGTGTAGCTATAACAATAACGTAGCTGGAATGTCATACCTACCTTTGAGTAAATAATGAAATATTTGCAAATGCCTTTCTGAAAATAAAATAAATTAGTGATTATAGAAGGGTGCCTATCCAGAAATAGAAAAGGATCAGTTTTTATTCTGTCACTTGTAAATACACTTTAGATACCAGATACCATGCAACTCTTCAAGCCTCTAGCACATATTGCCAGATGGCAATAGGGACTTGCTCCTGACTGGCAAACTATGCTAAAATGTGATTAGATCAAGTAGAACAGATTTTTAGGTGAAGTGTCTGATAGTGGCTTCAGTTCTCTTCCTTTTATTCCTATTTGAATTTACAATAGTTATTAATGCTTGGACTGTGTGAAATTTGTACATCATCTTCACAGTAACAGCCCAATGGAACTGCTGGATTACATTCTGGAAAGTAAAAGACCTTGCAAAAGAACAGCAGAGAGAGGGCTAGGTCTTCATCTCCTCCCTGCTGCAGAGGGCAAAAGAATATCATCCTATGTAGTAAGAGAGGTGGTAGTGCTATATGTCTGAAGTCTTCCTGAACCTTCTAGTGCACCAGTGTCCAACCTTACTTTCTCTCCAAGATGCTCACTGAAACATTATATGCCACCATGAGACACGTCTGGTGTTCCAGAGACACAAAAAGGGAGAGGCTGATTACAGTGGCTCACTTGAGGACACCCTATCCCAGGATGGGGCAAGTGATGACTGAGCATACAGGCTAACCTAGGATGCCTGGACAGCTTCTGATGGCTTCTTTCCTT